TTAAATAATAATAAATATTATTTTATAGATTTATAGATTTTTAAGTAAAATTAAGCATCTATATTAAAATGAATATATAAACAAGAAAGAAAAGCTAACTTCGGGCGGAGCCGAAGTTGATATACCCTTGCAGAATATTCTGTAAATTATATTCTCCAAAATTATTCATATGATGCAATCTTAATACTCATAAAAAATCCCAACTTCCTAACTTTAAAAACACCAAAGTTATGGCATTTCCAATCGTTCAGTTATATGGCAGCTATAGGATATAGTCGGCCGATCCTTATGAAATTTGATAGGTTGGATTGATTGGTTAAAAATAGAACCCATAGAAAATCCCAACTTCCTAACTTAACAAAAACCAAAGTTGTGGCATTTCCGATCAATCAGTTATATGGTGGCTATAGGATATAGTCGGCCGATCCTTATGAAATTTGGTAGTTCGGATTGATAGGCCAAATATAACACCCATAGAAAATCCCAACTTCCTAACTTCACAAACACCAAAGTTATGGCATTTTCGATCAATCAGTTATATGGCAGCTATAGGATATAGTCGGCCGATCTTTATGAAATTTGGTAGGTCGGATTGATTGGCCAAATATAAAACCCATATAAAATTCCAACTTCCTAACTTAACAAACAGCAGAGTTATGGCATTTCCGATCAATCAGTTATATGGCAGCTATAGGATATAGTCGGCCGATCCCGGCCGTTCCGACTTATATACTGCGTGCAAAGGAAAGAAGGGTGTGTGCAAAGTTTCAATTCGATATCTTTAAAACTGAGAGACTAGTTCGCGTAGAAACAGACAGACGGACAGACAGACGGACAGACGGACAGACGGACAGACGGACAGACGGACAGACGGACAGACGGACAGACGGACATGGCTATATCAACTCAGGAGGTGATCCTGATCAAGAATATATATACTTTATAGGGTCGGAGATGTCTCCTTCACTGCGTTGCACACTTTTGACCAAAATTATAATACCCTCTGCAAGGGTATAATAAGAACACAACAAAATTTTGTATATGTATATTGATTCTGCGAACTTAAACCGTCCAAAAAATAAGTTTAAATAATTTATCAAGCCCTATCAGCCCACTTGAGCACTATTTATTGATTTCATCAAAGGACTGTGTTTTCCGTCACTCACGCAAAAGAGGAATCATTATTTGTGAACAATGCTCCGTATGCGTGATATTTGGCTGTCTATCTTTTCCCTATTCGCTCAATGAGCGCTCTTGTTTGTTTGGGAGAGTGGGGTGGCCATCCTAACATGTTTGTTGTAAATTTCATTTAGATGTGCAATTAAATTTTAATTAGTCTGCCTCTTCTATTACTATTCACGCAAGTGAGCCAGGAGGGGAATTAGAGGAGTAGCTTTTGAGAGAAGACCCGATTTATATTTCTAGTAATATATTGAAATACCTTTAATTGGGTAAAGTTCATGTTAGGGCTTCCGTGCTATTATACCCTTGATGTGTGCGCTTTAATTTGTTTTCGTCGACTATTTGCTTCCGTTTTCGAAAGCATTTTCTGTGCTTTGTGGTATTTGTAGTTTGCCACCCCGGCCCATCATTTGCGGAACAACCTTCAGCTGGTAGCTATTCCCATTTAACTGTAATCAATTAATTCATTATTATTCGTATTCTGCTTTCGAAAAACCTGCCACTTTGCTTTATTGCATGTTGAAGTAGTTTTTCATTATTGGCTCTACCTTGTTGCACACTGTCGGGGGGATCATTGAGTTCACCGGGGGGCTCCAGGGGGCAAATGCACAAACTTGTCGGCAAGTTTTCCAAGGTAATTCACAGGCAACTTGGCTCTGCTTCTTTTATTTATCCCCCACTCCCCCCCTCACTTCCTTTCTGTTCAATTTCAGTTTTGTTGAAGGCCTCTGGGGTAACATTCCAAACAAGATAGCTGAACCAGAACAACTGAGGCGAAATCTTTTAGCCTTTAAAGGATAAAGGAGCATTGCTGCCGTGCTTTGTGATTGCTCTGAGGATGGAAACAGACATGTAAAGATCGCTTTGGCTAGCCAGATAAATACAATTTAAATGATATTTAAATGAATGGGGCTTGATGAATGAATTCCGATCCTAAAAAAATATTTACAAAACTTATCCGGTTGTTTCATAACTCAAGGCCTCATCATTTAATTGGAAATTGAATAGAAATGAAATAAATTATGATATATTTTAATGGTGTAGATAAAATTAAGATAATTAAAATGCTAATTTTATTTTTATTTATGGGCATTATTAATATGTAATGTCTACAAAAATACGTAAACTGGTTGTTAAAATAAATAAATCAAAGTAAATCCTTTATTCTAATTTTAAAATCAAGAATAAATATTTTTAATTTTTAAGAGTTTGTAGTGTTACCCATTTAATATGTTGTCTTGTTTCTTTCCTTCAATAAAACCTCAACCATAAGTTTTAACGATAAAACTGAACAGGTGTTGATGCTGTGTCCAATCTGATACATTATCCGACAAGTGTTATAACAATTGAAGTCCTACAGTAAAATTCCAAGCCCTTCGATTTGAACAGAAAGAAGTAGAAAAAAGGAAACCTCTTGTAACGATTGTCCTGTCAGAAAAGGGGAAAACTATATTCCTGCACACATCGAATGCTGTTTTTATTGTCGCTGCCATTTTCATTACATTAACCGTTTGCCAAAGCATTCAACTTGCCAACTTCCACCAGTTTTACCTGTTTTTGTTTTGTTTGTATTATTATGCCAGTTACTACTGTTATTTTTCCTTCTTTTTTCCGCCGCCTTTGCAACAGTTTTACTGCGCTGTTTGTTGATTTTCCAGTTGCTGATGCGACAACCCCCTTTGAGCCCGCTAATCCACCCACCTGGCCAGATGTGGGGACAAAAGTTGAGCGCTTTTGCCGTTTAAAACATCACAAGTAGGTTTGGGGGGATCATCAGTGACAACAGCGAAAACAAAGGCATACTAACTACTCAAACAGCTTTCTTTTTAAACACAACTTCCCGTAAAATCCAGAACAATTCAGAATCCCCTCAGAGTCCACATCAATGGGCATATGATAGGCCCGAAAAATCCAGACATGTCGAACCCGTGCATCTCATCGCTGACCCCGCTCAACTTCGACAGGTCAGGCGTTTTTATAAAGCCATAAAATATACACAAACTAACTGAGAGGTCGGGACCCAACGCACACGTTTTATTTTGCGCCAAAGGGGAAGGTGGTTCAGATGATTGGGGATAGGAATGGGTTTAAATGTGGGGGAGGGATGGCCTACAGTCTGGGACCTTAGACTGTCAACGGCCTGCTCCGGCAACCTTTTTAAATAACTACAGTCAGAGGAGAGGCTGAAAACTTTGTGGTTCAAAAATATATATGAAAGTGAAATAAGCAGAGAAAAAATGTATGATCCTTGAAATCATATATATATTATAATTTAAGTCAGAAGATTTCCCATGGTTTTGCTTAAAAACTGAAACTTACATTTTTCGGGCTTATAACCATAAAAATGTTGTTTTAAATTAGACAAAATACGACGCATAGACAAAAGGATGATTGTTTTGTGTAACTAAGCCCCTAAACCATCGATTTATTTAGGCTTGGTACCGATTTCCGCACTCGTAATTTGTAGAATAAATAATTACATTGGAATAAAATAAAATTTTATAGCTGAAAATTCCAATCGATTAGCAATTGTATAACGAATTCGACAAGGTAAGGCATTTCAAAATTTGGGTATTATTTTCCATGGTCTTGATAAAAATAAAACGACACTGAAGTCGATTTTTCGGGCTTTTGGCAATAAAAAAGAAATAAAAGGCCATTATTTCCCAATTGTTTTGAAACAAAAATATAAGATATGTAACTGATACTTTTGCAAACCCATCAAGCAACTCTCGCTTTTCTAGCTTTTTGAGTTGTTGTTCGTGTTCTGTTTTTTCTTCGGTTAAAGGGTCCTGCTTATGTTTGGTTTATGTTTTTTTGCGGGCCCATTCTCAGTTTCGGACTTGGGCTTGCCCGAAAGATTTATGTGCGTAAATTTCATGCTGACGGCATCAGGTGATTTAACACTTTAGATAACTTGGAACAGTTTATAGTCGGAGAAGAAGTGTCCCCCACTCTTTAAGCTAACAAATGTCGAGGTCGCTTGGGTGAGTTCTGAGGACGGGTGAAAAGTTGTATTTTTATTATTTTATTTTATTGCGCTTACATCTTTAAATAAGTTTGCTTTGGCCGCCCTCTTATTGGGTGTGTATTGGGGTCCTTTGTTCGGAGATCTGCCCTTCGGAATTGATGCGTCTTTTGGGGTCATAAAAATTACAAAAAATTTCGCTTGCCTTTTTGGGCTGATTGCTGTGTGCGATTGAGCATCGTTGGTCCTGTTCCCAGGACCCAGGTCCCCTGGCGTTTCCTTTCGTCCTTTCCTGCTTGTTCTTCTCTCGTCCCTTTGTTTGTTTGTTGTCCAGATAGGATATAAATTATATTGAGCGCTTTGAATTAGTTTTTTATGTGCCACACATGTAGTGAAAATGAAATTAGATACGTGTTGGGTACGAGTTAATTTGAAGGCACAGATTTGCCCTCATTCCAAAACAAAAAATAAAACTTTTCCCTGATTTGTCTTCGATTGATAATTGGGGGAGGTGAACAGGAAGGAAAAGAGTTTCTCAACCGAGGGATATTTAAAGAGTTTACTTTAGTCGCACAATGCTCAACAATTGCAAACTCCATTGGGGAAAGTTCATCCTGCAATCGCTTCAGCACCACCAACAATGGCAAGCAATTACCAAAATACAAAAAATACTACAAAAATGGAACCAGAAAAAACCGAACCAAATACAAAAAAAACAAGGGAGATTGCAAAAATTCAACTCCAACACGAAAAGGGCAAGCGCGAGAAAGGAAACGCAAAAAAGCGAAAATAACATGGAATTGTTAAGGAACTGCAAACTGCAAATCCATTAAACCACAACAAGAACAAGATGAAGAAGCATAAGGATGAGGATGAGGATGAGGATGAGCAGAACCCAGCAGAACGGAGTACAACTCTGAACTGCAGTACGTATTGAATCGAAATGGGGAATGTCCTGACACAATTGACTGGAAATTGTTTGTTAAATGTACAGCGCGTTGAACGTTGAGCACCACGAAAGACACTTGTAAACGTATTTTTTTGGGATTAGCCGATACGGTTTAAATTGAATTTCCATTAACATTTTCCAGAAAATGGTAAAGCTTTCTAATGCGATCTTCTCAGGCATACCTAATTAAATGCTTTTAGTAAAATGCCATTCACTATCCTCCTTGCTTGTAAACAACAGCTTTATTTAAATAAATAACGGCTGCTTTTATTATAATAATAATATGCAACTACGTTATTTTATATCATTCACCACATTGAGTTTTAACAATATAAGGATATTGAATATCACAGCACTATTCAGTCCTTTCATGAAGCTTATTGAAAATTACCGTGTAGTTATAAATGCGGCGAATAGGTGTTAACATTTAAATTACAATCCTGATGTTGTTCTGAATCAAATAACTTTTAAATTCGTTGACAGTTTATCATAAAGGCATTAAAGCTACGAGTACTATTGAGACATTGACTAATAAACATAAACATTTCTCAAGTATTCAAGCGATGAAATTAGTTAGTTTTGCTTTTTAAATGCATTAAACCTTAACCAATTGGATACTATGGTCTTTAAAAAATTCACTTTTATTTAGCTACTTTGAATATGAAGTTATACATTATTGTAAATTTGGGTAAGCCATAGATGTTGACTTGTCAAAAATATATGATTATATATATTATATTTTCGAATTAGTTTTCATGTTAGTCGGTTTTGGATGGGGTCTAAATTGCAATAAGCCTTGTGGACCGTGCATTTTGCCCACCTGCAATTATGATGGAAAATGTTATTATGAGGGCGTCAGCGCCTGTGGATTGGAAAATGAGAAGTGCCGACGTAAGCAGAATAAGCTTCCCGGTGAGTTTTCCTAAAATACTTGAAGAATTCCAAATACTGTTTTTTTATAAATTTTAGAGTTCATCAAATCCGATTCTGGATATTGCGACGAAGGTGTTAAAATGTGTAAATAGTAGATTGAAAAAATGTGCTCCTTATTGATTTTATAAATACAAACCAATCAAACAAATGTTAAAATTGCTATTGAATAAATCGGGAGTTAAAAAATTTCGTTAATGAATGATATAAGATAATAATCAAGACAAAATAAATAAATGCGCTTAGAACAATGCTTTCTTCACCAAAACGAGTCGGTTGGGAAGTGCAATGACTACTGGCACAGCTAAAAGTCGAATTACTCCCTAGCTTGACCAATAGAAACCACAAGAAGGCAAAGATGAGGAAGATTCAGATCCACCACCCCCTGAACTCCCAACAGAGCAGCCCAACCGAACTGCCCAACCATGAAAAATTTAAACTTTGCATCCAAGCCATTTATTCATCCTGCTTGGCATCTGCCATCATATCTTAGCATGCGGTTCTGCCTTCGTCCCCTCCCTCCCCCTCTTCTGCATCTTAAAGCTCCCATCTATAACTTCAACCATCTTCGTGGTGATGCTCCTTTTTCCAAAGGAGCTGGGCAGTGGGGTGCACCTTAAAAATTAATTGAAACATCACTACCGGCTAATATTGTATATTAAAATGAGCAAAGGAGCAACAAAGCGGACCGAAATGGGCCGCAACGAGATGGGGCATATAAAACTTTTGGGGTTAGCTCAGTGCTCTAAACACTGGCAGCAACTTGCAAATTGCCAGTGTGCGTTGCCATTTATCAGTCTTAGTTTCGGGATAGTAGGGAAGAATGTTCCACAATAAATTCGAAGAACAAATTTGGTTGCTACTGGAGTTTATTAGCTGGAAGCCGGTATTTTGCGGTCAAAGGGCAAACTGAACTTGAATCCGGCCGGTCTTTGTAAACCCCCCACCCATCATACATTCATCTTCGTCTTTCCCCATTGCCATCAAATCACTGTCCAGTCGACGAGAATTCCTTTTGAATACTCCGGCTGATGGGGCAGCATTGCCAGGTGGCAAATTAATGTCGGCTCAGGCACGGCGCATGCTCAGATTCTCCGGCAATCGGGGGCACTTCGGGTTTGCTTCTCCCAAGCGATTAGTGCCACGACATGGGTCGTGCCATCTGGTCTCGGGTTTTGGGTCTGTTGCGCCTAGGACAACAATTTCCGTATTGCATGTTGCTCGCGTGCCGATGCCGTCGTGTGATCTAAAACGAAGCGAGTGTCGAGGTCGCCAACGTGCCATAAAATGCGCATAATGTGGCACGGATGTGCCAGTGCACGTTGGTTATTTGGCGCGTGAGCATCGCACATAGAGTCGCCCTGGTGGAGTGTGGCAAGCCGTATTGATGTTGCTCGTGTTGGTGCGCGGCCGGAAAGCGGCAACATCTCGTACTTAGCCGGCCAAGCTTAAATCGCGAAATGGTGACCGCAAATGGATAGGCTTCAAGGGCCCATAAATATTATATATTTTTCGGTGGCCTGCTCAGATTTCAGTGCCTATGAAATGGAAAATAATCAATCGGTGATTGCATAGTGAAGTGATCAGTAATCAAACTCAAGTGGCTAGAAAGGCAAAAAAGCAAACAGAGAAAAGTAACCTAGGCACATGCAACAACTGGATACGGATACGCTTTTCAAGCCCTGAAAAGCCGCCGACCCACGAACCCACCCACAAGTCAAGTACGTAACAGATTGATGTGGCAGTCGCCGTCCCCATCTTGAAAGCACCACCCCATGGGCCACCCACTGAACTGCCGACCCCCTCCCACCCGTTGGCCACTTGACTAAAAGTTCAATTTCCTGCAAGATGCTTTAATTGAAGCGCACAGTAAACAAGAAATAGAAAGCAGAAAACAGAAAACAGAGTGGGGGCAAGGGTCACTTGCCGCCTCGGGTGCCTTCGCTCTGGTCAGTCATTAGTCATTTGCTCATTTCCGCAAACGCAGCCCGGATGTGCAGCACTTGTCAGCCAATAAACAACCTCGGCGGGGGGCGGTGGTGGAAAGTGGGGGTATGGTGGGTGGTGGATACTCCGCCCACTCACCCACACTCCAAATTAAATGTGGCAAACATATCAACGTCCATCACCCATTCTGATGGGTGGTCAATGCATTCAGCAACATTGCTGGCGGGTCCACAGATCTGTTGGGGCATCCAGGAATTGCCACTGTGTATTTGCATTGCCCCCCAAGGAACTGGGTGAAAATTCGATTTCGTCCATGGCAGGAGATCAGAGTGGACTTCGGCATCCGTTTTCATCAAGCAGATGAGAGCTCTGCTGCCTTTCAAGCACCACAATGGGATCCTTGAAGGATGTATACAAATTATCAGCTATTCCACAATGACTTACCACAACTGAGTTGATTTGGCTTAGAATTTGTTTTACAAAATAATTATCATTTAAAGAAATCTAACTTGTCTTTTCCCAATATCAAAATGCAAATTCAAATATATTTTGTTGGCAGGGGAATAAGGTACATTATGCAGTTATCAGATATAACAATTTTATCAAAGACATGATAATTTATGGTCAACAAAAGTAAGTTTTCTTTCTTGTAACTTTTTAAATGCAGTAAAAGGAATTTGGAATGAAAATTTTAAATTATAAATTATTTTATTAAACAAACTCAATATATGTTCGGAAATAAATAACAGAAATTAAATAAATATCTTATTATCTTTAAATTAATTGCTTATTATTCCAATTTTCCACCTTGACTTTTATCTGCAATGGTCACCATAATCATTCCTAATTAAGATCCCATTAAAGATTATTTGAATCACGGACTCTTGAGCATTAAAATATTTGAGTAAGTCAAAACTTTTCCCATAAACTACTTTCCTCAATCCGATTGTTTGGTATTCAAGATGCTACCAAGGAAAAGTGGAACGACCCAGTGAAATCTGGGGAACGAGTGTTGCAGTAGTAGTGGGTGAGTGGGTGGCATGAGGAGTGCCGACTGCATATGTGTCACACATTGAGTTTCTTGGACAACAATAACCAAGACGGACAGGAGCAGGGCGCATCGTTCAGAAAGAGCAAAAACAGTGCATAGGTGCTAAAAAAAAAAAAAGAAACAACGAAAAAACAACAATGACACGGGGGCTGGGGCGAAAAATGTTGAATGGAGGGAGGAGTACCCAAGCTAACCCAGTTTTTTCTACGCTGCTTCTTCACGGCTCAGTTTTGTTTTGGGCCTCTTTTTTTTTTTGCCAGCCGCTGCTGGTATATTTCTTTTTATGGCTTTTACGGACTGCCCGCAAAACGACGACGACGTCGAGGACGAAGAGCCTCACTGACAGCAGAAGAAACGAAAATATTTCGACCAAAAACTGCCAGACTTGGATCACCCACTAACCACCAAAAACACCCACCCACCCAAGCAGCCCCTTTGATGAAACCTGTTTTGTAATTGTTGTGTTTTTATTCCGTGTATGCGTGTTGTTGCGGATTTCTTTGGCTTTCCGAGCGTTTTCTGGGCCCTGGCTTTTTGCCTGGGCCATTGTCACGTAAATCTGTGACAGAAATTAGCCTCGTTGACAAAAATATGCCTGCTTACACATTATTTGTACAAACAAATAGACGGGCAACAGTTAATGGCGAGCAGAGTGTCGTCCCCGAGGTGCCTCTGGGTGCTATGGATTCAATGGGGTTTTTTTTTTGGGGTTCTCTGAGGGGGTGTGTGTCGTAGGTCTGGAGAAATTTGCATGGGAACTGCGCCAGTTGCCGCTGTTGTTTCTTGGACTGTTATGCCCGGATTCCTTTGGTAGTTTTGTGGCTGTTGTCCCGGCTTTTCCACTTCTTCTTGTTTTATTGATCTGTTTATGCTTTAGGACCTCGGTCCCTTTCCACCCCCGCCAACCCCTGTCCAACCCTCATCATGGATAGACAAACAAAAAAGTTTTATTTGTGGACTAATAAAAATGCAAAAAAAAATAGGAGATGCGGGGACCGCAAATGTGTTTTTTTTTGGGCAAAGTTGTTCCTAGGTTAATGACCAGACAGGCGTGAAAGCAATCATAAACAGGGTCCACTCATTTTCCCACTCTTCACACTCGAAGTTAATTTACCTTGACCGGGGTCGGGCCTCCTCGGTAGAAAGTTTATTCTGGTTTTTAATCAACTCATTATGAACCCGCTTCCTGGAATCACAATATACATATCATGATGTCGATAAATTTATTTGCTAGCTCACGGCATTTCTGATTGACGGATGGACTTTCGATCCGATTTTTGTTTCCAATAAAATGTAATGAGCTTAATAAATCAAATAGTTGCTTAAAGCTTTAAAAATAATAATTTATAATATGCTTTTGATTTCGGGTAACGAGGTATACACTGTTTTTTAATGAAAATTTTAAAGATAATAAAGTGGATAATTAAATTTAAACTCTAAATGTGTATTTATTTTAGTACGAAGATAGAAATGCTTTCTGTGCTTTAACAAAAGTTTTAATGAAATGAAATGAATACAAAATCAATACGCAAATTAGAACATTGTATGGGGATGGGTCAAAATTATAGCAACGAAATACCAAAACTGGTCGACTTACGCATTATAATCCAAAAATACCAAGTTGAAAGTCAAACTACTGTCAATAGCCTGAAGTCTACAATTTCCAAAACCAGCACTAATTACTAGGACCTAACCTTAGCCACACAAAATACAGAGTCAATCTATCATGCTATGGGTGTTTCTCTGATTAACACGAAACCTTGCCCAGGCCGTGCAACAAAATGATTGATGTCCACTACAAAATTTTCAATGTATCGCCTCCCCGGCCACGCCCATCCTGCCCCTAGAATATTTCCGTTCATTCACGCTGCAGTCCAGCTTTTACTACGGATCCTAAACCTTGGCTACATAAACTGTTTATCGAACCATTCGCTTTTATGTCACAGCAACTGATTGATTTTTAATTAAACGTCCACGATTTCACTGATTGACGCTAATCATACGCTTGATGGGCTTAAGCCCGGCCACGCCCCTACTTATAGGGCGGTTACAAAAAAAATGAGCATTTTCCACTTTAATTCGTACACAATGTATGAAAACACATTCGACGGAAATTAGATATTTATTGAGCGAGGCGTTGTCAGCCAAACCAATTTAAAAGGTATTGGCAAAAGGCGAAGGGCATTGAAAAGGGGAGCGTGTGGAAATCGAATATTATCCAGATAGTGCCGAAGATCCATTTACGTGACTCGGAAATGCAAATAAAAAAGTGGAAAAAACCGCTTCCAGTTTGTTTTTTTTCTGTTCTTTTATTTTTTATTGAATTGTACATAAAGGAAGGAACGTGGGAAGTGGTTGCGGGCAGGGGAGGGGAGGGGCAGACCGACATAAATAAACCTCAACTAAGTCGTGTGTTTTGACATAGATTTAAATTGACATGGTTGTGTAAACAGACCGGGGAGGAGGATACCAAATGCAGACACAAAAGCAGAAACAGACGGAGAGGCTCACACACATTCCTCATTGAAAGCCGCACACAAATTCTCGGCGTTCAAGGCATTCCCTGGAAAAGCCCAATCCCTTGATTCCCCCCTTCCCCTCTTTCTTCCCCACCATGTTCAATATGAGCTGGGGCGAGAAAAAATAAAATAAAAATGCAAAATAGTTCGTTATTTAACATATTTGACGGCTGCCCGGCTGCTGTCGCTGCCGGCTCGTAAATGTAAATTGGCCGGCAGATATGGAGCTGATGACAAACAGGCCCGAAGCCAGAGTCATAGCCGGGGAATCTAAACGGGGAATCCAGGACAGGACGCACAACCTGGCATGGAAAACACACACCCATGGACACACAAACCCTTTGACAATTTTGTTGCTGCCTTCGCTTCGATGGCTCGTTGCTTTTTCTCCGGGCTCCGCAAAAATATTTGCCACGCAAATAGCTGGAAAAGTATTGCCCGATTATGTTTCTCTAACTGGGCACACACGCAGCAGTCAGCAAATTGAAAGGCAAACACGCACACACACACACACACATAGACATGGTCGGGAAAAAGATGAACAGGCCAAAACGATTTGAGAAGGATCCGAAAAAAAAATTGAATATGGGGGGAAAACTAGTGGCGAGAAGATGGGATAAATGGAGAAATGGTGAAATGGAGAAAAGAACGCAGTCTGGCTGCTTTCTATGAATGTCAATTGGTTGTTGCCCGGATGGTAAGCGGAATGGCAAGCTGTCCACGGAGCGGGGGGGGAAAGGGGCCAATTTAAAAGGGCTTACTTTTTAATGAAGCGAACTAAGGACGATACCCAACCCCAACCCGAAGGGTATGCAACACAATCGCTATAGCGACTATGATAAATGGATGAGCATATGTCGGAAGGAGTAAGTGGGTGCCTGGCCATTGAGAAAGTGCCAGCTTATTGACAGAGAACGGCAACGAGAATTGAAATGCTAGATGGGATGCAATTAGATAGGGCGTAAATGGAGCATGATAATACGTCATTATGCATTGTTAGTCCGATAAGTGAGATGTGTGTCGGCAGAATAATTATAACTAATGTCAGCTCGTTACTTGTGAAGGAGTTGCCCATGAAGCAAGCATTGTTTTAAATACAGCAATTTTATTGTAGCTTTGATGGCTATTAAACAGAATTAAAATATAGTAATAAATGTAGTGGTTACTAAATATATACCTAAGCATCTTTATTAACAATGACCTC